GGGGAGGGGCAGGGGATGAACGAAAATTTGAGGCGAGAGATATTTTCCCAAGACGAGAGATCCAACACATACGCGCACGCGCACGCGAGTGTCGTATAAATGAAAAGAAGAGAAATCGATCGATCGTCGCGAAGAAATCTACGGGGAGCAGAGGGCGAGCGGGTGGAAAGGAGGGTGCGGGGGTGGGATTCATTTCCTGCACGGTAGAATTACGGAAGAGGACAGATAAATTAGCGTCGCGATCGTAAAGGATGACGCGCGATTTCCTGGGTATGGCGAGCGAGGAGGCGCGCTCGCCATTGCCCGACCCGACGAGTCGAGTGAAACACCGTGCCAATAAAAGTCGTCTTCCGGTCTCGCGTAACGCCGGTCCCCGAAGGGGGAGGAGAGACAGAGAGAGAGAGAGAGAAAGTTGTATGGTTACACGGAGAGCCCGAATGAAGAATAGCTCGACAGAGGAAGTGGCCGCCCGGTAAGGACATCGTGGCCAGGGCGAAAACCAATATAAGCTACTCCATAGGTCAACCTCTAAACCCCCCCATGAAAAGGGGACGGGACAAGGCTCCTGGTAAAATATCGCGGCCCGTAGGAACGCCCGTAGAAAACGATAAATGCGAGCCTGCCATTCCGCGGCTCGGCCAAGATCGAGATACGAGTTACGCGGGCGATTATGCGACTCGCATCGCGGACGACGAGACATCTAGCGACGACCCAATTGTCCGACGACACCATGTGTCCAGAATTAAGGGAGATATCCTTATTCCAGTATTCCGCTTTAAAAATATTATATTATAGATTCGAGTATCCGGCTCGGTCGGTCGCGTATGGAATGGATAACGAAGGTCCGCGAGATCTGTCGGCGCGACAGAGAGCGACGCTCGAGCCTGCGAAATTGCCTCGTGCCTATCTATATTTCTCGCAATGTCGGCGATAATCTTTAGCATCTTCCCAGATATATCGGCGTATGACAAAACAAATATATCATCGATCATTTATAGCTTAACGTCAAATTGAAAAGCGTCCCTTCGGCGAACTGAAAAAGTCGGCTCGGCCGAGCGTTCGAGCTGAAGGGATTTCACGCATTGCGCGAACCCCGCTCGCGCGAGGCTGATAAAACGAGGCGAATGAATAAAGAACGCTGCGCGGACGTGAAAATGCGCGCTGCCGGGGATTTCCGCGAGAGGATCGTGCATGAGCAAGCCGCGCGCGCGCGGCGAATGCGCTTACGAATCCCGAGCGTAAAAGCCGCGGAACGTGCGCCGCGCGCGCGCCTGTAATTTCATAATGACGGGCCGCGCGGTGTTTCGTAATCGTTCGCCGGGCGCCCCCCCCCCGTGCGCGGCTGGCCGGAGAGGGGAGGGGAGCCCTCCTCCTCTCGGATAAACACACACGTAAATCCTGCCGAGACACTGCGCGCGCGATATCGCTCGCACGCGGGGCCCTTCCTCCCGATAGCGCTATCTATCGATTGCACGTACTAAAACTGTCAGCGCGAGCCTTAACACGCAAGGCGGAGGCGCCGCGCGACACGGGATCTCGGCTCCTCAGGACGCGAAACCGGCCGCTTTATAGCGGTGACCCGCATGGGGTCAAGGTGGCGGCGACATTTCTTCGGAGGGATGCTACGGCAGAGCCGCCGCGCCTCCCCGCTCTCTCTCTCTCTCTCTCGTGCGCTCGATGTTTATCCTCAGCGGGCTTATCCTCAGCTTCTCAAACAGTCGAGATAAGCGGATACGTCCGTGAGCAAGTTGAAAAATGTTGTCGCACGCACGATCATCGCGAGCGTGCGTTATTCTTCCTGTACCGTCCGGCGCGCAAACGCTCGCGTGTACGACGCTTTATTACTTTAATAACGGCTATCGATGGGTCGATACGATCGTGCGGATTCGTGCGAAGCAGAGTGTCAGTGGCCGCGATTACAACAGTCGGCGTTTCGCCGTCAAAACGCCCGATTTCAATCCTAAACTCCACGAAAAGCGGAAGCAGCACGTGTCGTACGTCATTGAGATATATACAATACGCTCGATATTTCCGGATATTAAATTCACCGGGGGCTGTTTATACGGCGCAAAAATTGCGATACGTGACTGCGGCTGCTGGCACTTGTGGGAAAATCGCGTGCGAGTGTGCATGCGCTACGTAATGTACTCCGCGAGTGGTGAAATTCTCTCATCAAGGTTCAACACTCGCACCGAAGAAACCTAGAAACCGGCAATTTCACTCTCCAATTACGAACAGATTTCGAGAGAATAACGATTCGCTTTACGACACGCTCTCTTACATCTCTCATTTCTTGCCGCCTTCTCGCTGCTGCTGGTAATTTATGTCTTCGGTGTCGTCCGCGTTCCGTTATCGAGAGACGTTATTATTGACGGCAGCCGAAAGACGCGCGCGCGCATCCCGTCCAAATAAATATCGCCACACGAGGCCAGACGCGCTTTTAATTTCGCGACTCCGAGCTCCGGTCTAAAGAACGTAATCCGGCGTAATTAGGGCCAGGGCAATGAGCGGCAACGTGGGGCTCGAGCTCATTAAAACGGCGCTATCGGCGGGTCCTTAATGCCGCGCAGACACCAAGGGAGCTCGCTCTCTCTCTCTCTCTCTCTCTCTCTCTCTCTCTTTCTCCCTGCCCCCCCTCTTCCTCGGTGACCCCCGCGCGTCCCGCCGCTGCGCCGCCGAGTTTTGCAAGCATCGCGCCAGCCCCTCGAGCCCTCCATCCTTCGTCCCCCTTCGACTTTCAGCTTTCAGCGCGTTGCGCGTCCGCCGTTCCACGCGTAATAACCGCTAATAATTTTCTCGGGCCACGTCGGGCGCCAGCAGCGGGGGTGCGACCGGACGCCGCTGACGGGAGCGGGGTATAAATCCGGAGGGGTGTTCGCGTTCGCCTCATTCACCCGCCGGCGGGTGGTCCGAAATCCGGCGGGAATACATGGCGCGACGGAATAACGCCACGTTAGGCGGACTTTCGATATCGAGCGAGCGAATATCCGCTCGTACGGTATCGTTATGCGATATTAAAAATGTTGAGGGATCGCGCGCGCGGACGGCGGCGAGCGATAACACAGACGACAAACGTGTTTCCTAGCCAGACGCGGGAAGCCTCTATCAATCGCGGATCACCCTTCGCGGACGACTCCCGGCCCGGTCCCTTTTCGTCGACGAAAGTCGCCGAGTCAGCGGTACTTTCCGAGTCGCTCTGAACCGCGAAAATAACGCGACATCACGAGTCTGAAGGAAGAGATTAGAAAAGGACAAGAAAGGACCGCGAGGAGAGACGTCTCGGACAGCGGAGGCGGAGAAGAGTTCGTCGTGCTCGCGCGCGACACTCCCGCACAGAGCCCAGACAGAATTCATTTGACGCGTATACGCGCAGCGCGCGCGCGCGCGCGCGACTCGCCTCTTTTTCTCTTCCGACTGACTGACCTACTTCGGAAACACGTGGCGTTTTACGATCGCTACCACACGGGCACCGGAGAGGAGAAACGTGTCGACGCGGCGGCAGGCGGTGGTGGTTGTTAAAAACCTCGGGGTGACGAAACAGGGGTACTATTGTGCCCAGATGACAGCTGTGTCGGGCATTTAAGCGCTCGCTCGCTCGCTCGCTCGCTCGCTCGCGAGAGAGAGAGAGAGAGACCGCGCGCGCTCGACGAAACGAGCCCGCTGAAGAGGCGATTGTGCGCCGACTAATCGACCAGTTTCTCACGATTTAATATTCCGAGGAGCACAAATAATTCGTTTAGTGCGCGCATGCGTGTATGCACACACACGCACACGCGTAGATGATATCGCCGTCTCCGGCACGGCCGACCTTTGTGCATTTAAATACATAGAGCGCGTCAGCGTGGAATGCGTCTTATCGAACAATCGGAATGTCATGCTGACGAAAAACGTACGAGAGAAAGAGAGGGAAAGAGAGCGCGCGGCCGGGCTCGGTGTATTATCTCGTCAGGAGACTAATGTGATCTCGGTGATCCCCGGGGCCGGGTCGGTAAACATTTCGAGATGATTAACGATAATTCGGCCGGGATAACTCGGATAATGATTAACAGTCTGAATCCACCGCTGCTTTTGAACGCGCGTCACAGCCTGGACACGGCAGTCTCGCGTCCGATATTAGCCTCGTCCGTTGGAACTGAAACATCGCTCCCACTCTTCCCTTCGCCCACCCCCCCCCCCACCGCACGTAATCCATACGACGTGATAATACAGGGCGACGCGCAACGAAAGCGATCGCTCCGAATGTCGACTCGATCGCGACGTCTGCCCGACGTGTCTGAAGCAACTGTCGACAGCGACCATTGCAAATAAGATAAAGACCGCAGCGTCTCGAATAGGACATTTTGTTTGATAAGAGAGGGATTTTCAATCGTTTTCTCCGTTACATCTGTTTGGCCGGTGGGGACACTTGACGCGCTCCGAAACCATCGGCGGATTCACAGTACGAATTATCTTCGGTGATTCCTTATGGAAGTCACTCGCAACTCTGTGTATTTTGTATACCGAATTTATCGGTCATTTCAAATGAAATATTATCGTTTTTGACACGTGTGAAAGATGTAGAATGTACGCGTAGAAAATTGATAAACTCGACAGACGTAAAATTTATCAAGCCGAATGAGGTAAATAATGGTGAATTTCACCGTTATTTACCTTGTGCGATGCCGCAATTCTGATCAAATTTCAACATTACACACTACTCGAAGCAGGAGTTATATTGATTGAATCGCAGCAAATAATTCCATATCTTGATTTCAATATATAATAACAAACTGAAGCATTTATATCTGTATCTTCTAATGATTCGGAGTAAATATAAAAGAGAGAAATATATATTATATCTTAAAGATTCTGTTGTGTAATACGGTCATTGCGAAAGATACGATCTCCTGATTATTTCGAGTAACGTGTGAAAAAAATATATAATCGAATCGCACTGATTTTTTTCGAGATATATTGCAAACACCCATCACCGTAAAAATGTCTTTTCTTCTCTGACTCACCGATACACAGTAGACAGAGTCAGCCGCGTTCTGCTGCGGATCTGTAACAAAAAAATATAGTTTCGTTAGTTAAGTCAAAAGTTAGATTAGGTTGAATTCAGTTCGCAAAAACGCGCGCGCAGATACAAATGTTGATCCTTTGCCATCGTAATTCAACGGCTTTTATTCACAATCACTTGATTTTTCGATCGCAATGAATCAAGAAGAAATGTACAAACGATCAGTGAACCTCACCTTCAAGCCGACTCTGCTCGGCCCGAACCGGATCCTCCGGTGCGGCATCGACGTCCGTAGAAACTGCGTCCCGGTAACCGCAGTTACCGTCACGTGGCCGCAAACTCCGCCGCAGATCTGTAACAAAAAGAGCGAGTTTCCTCATTAGTATTACAGCGACAAATGCGCCCCGAATCAAGAGTACGAAGACTCGAGACTACAAATTAGCTTCTTCGATTTAACCAAGTTAACCAATAATAGTTTACCTTCAAAGACCATGAAACACTGCTATTGCTTAAGATGCTCCGGATCGTCACGCACACATACACACACACACACGCGCGCGCGCGCATTCACGCACACACACGCACGAATATTACACGTTACACGCGCGCGTATACTGCGCGATCGAGAGTGAAAATTCGGAAATTATTACGCGCGCGACGATCCGCCGATCCGCCCGTCCGTCGCCGCGGCGTAAACAATAATGGAAGCGGTCGCGGCAGTTGCGTACTTATGAACATGTTGTTTTCAAAATCGCGCGACCTTGTCCCGCCGGGACGCGTCTCAGAGAGCCCGTAACGTCGTACAAAATTTACCTTTTCAAACAAAACAGTGAAAAGAGGTGCCACAAGTACACGCGCAGCATGTATTGTGTATTATTCTTAGAGATCTCAAATTATTCTTTTTCAAGTTATATATGTAACATAAAATTTTGCAAGTAAAATTTATAACTATAATAAAACTCTACAACGCTACTTTGCAAAAGAAATGATATAAACGGCAATGTTTATGCTTTTAGTACTGTGCATCGTACCGCATCTGAGCGTGTATCTTTGGGCAATATAATTTATTATTTTCCCTATACAAGTAATAAGTTTGCACAAGTAAAACTTATATCTCTAACAATAAATTCTTCTATTGAATACTATAAATAAAACTCTACAAAAAAATGATATAACAAAACAGTAGCATCGACTGAAAATCTCTACTCAACATCAACTCTACAAATGAGAGCGATTTGCAATCTGAAGATAAATGTATCGAAAACTCCCAATGATACACAGTCCGGTATTTCAAAAAGTCAAGTCTTCATTATTTACTAGAACACTGAGTTTTATGGTTATTTTACTTGTTATTATAATAAATTAGTTAATATAACAATGCAATAAAAAATATTTAATGCAAAAAATCTTGGCTTCTCTCTCTCTCTCTCTCTCTCTCTCGCTCTCTCTCTCTCTCTCTCTCGCTCTCGCTCTCTTTCTCTTTCTCGCACATTTCTACCGAGTCGAAATTTTCCGTGATTTGAACTTTATTTTAAAATATCTACACTTAGAGACAACGTACACAAAAAACACAAGGACACTTCTCTTCGTATTTTTTAAGGCCGAATCGATTGGGATTGAAAAAACCTCGATCGGTTTAGCCATTGCTGAGATATGGATATCTCACCTCGTTCCAACTCGCAGTTTCGCGTAATAATATAGGCACGGTGTGCCTCGCGTCGTTCGGGCGCAACTTCGTTACGCTTGAACTTGGCGCGAGGCATTACCGTGTCTCTTGATTTTTCATCGACGCTGAGTGAAAGCAAGGGAAAAACGAGTATAAACAGCTTCCCCGTTAAACGACGTGTTTTTTTTTTTTTTCACTTATTTGTCATTTCGACTGATATGTAGCAAAAATAGGTGGTGGTCGATTGCGAGTAGCAGCGGAGTCAAGCCGATTACCTGACCAGTCCCCGCGCGATCCATCGACTTCTCCCTTCGTCCCGATCGAATCGAGACGTACTGCTTAGCATCGCGCTTCGTATCACCGTCCGATGAGCGCCTCCCTTCGAGCCTCCTGCGATTCGATTCGATTCCACCGGCGAAACCGCATTATCGCCCGCGTAGCACGGCGATCCATCTTTGCTCCCCCGCTCTCGCGCGCGCGAAAAGCAACGTTTCCGCGCCGCGCCGCGTTTTCCGCGCACGTAACATTTAGCCGAGCTTTACGAACCGCGATTATCGCCGGCCGCCCGAACACAAAAGTATTTTATGATGTAGCGCATCCTGATCGCGGGGCCGAGGGGAGCGAAACACGGGCGGGACACGAAAAGAGAAAGCCATCCGGCTCTCTCGGCGGGAAAAGGGGGTCACGGGAGGAAAGAAAAGCGACGGGCGGGAAACGGGAAACGGCGCAGAGCGGACGGGCGGACGGAAGAGAGGAAGTGAGCGTTATTAAATTGCGCGGAAAGCCGAAGACTTCCATTTTCAGCCGATTTATGCGCCGAGAGATAACGCAACGGGGGCACGCGCGCGCTTGTTTCTCCACAAATTCCCCTCGGCCGTGGTAAGATCGCGCGTCATTATCTCCGCGCGTTCGTTTCCCTCGCTGGCGGACGATCGCCGGTGGGATGGTAACGTGACGCTTCGACGAGACGAGATCCGGGTAGTTATGGCTTTTTTCCGCCTCTTCACGGGAAGAGGAGGGAGTGATGTTACGTCTGAATTTGGGACGGAGGAAGAAGAACATCGAATCACGCGGATTGCTTAGACAGTCGGCCCTTAGAGCCGCAAATGGCTGCTGAAAGTCACCCGGAGGGATGAATATCTTCTCCCGTTTTATCGTACAAAATTCACCTATTCGTCGACGTCGTGACGTCTGCATCTTTTTGTTCACAACAATAGCGACCGGCAGTCGCTTTGGGAAACGTCGTCGATGTTGCTCGCGCTGCGAACTGACGAGACGAAGACAGAAGCATCTCTGTGAAACTGAACGACCCTGGGAATCTCGCAGAGATTCCCCAGATCGAAGAACCTCGAGGGCAGAGAGGAAGAGGAAAGAGGAAGGAAGCAGTTTCGCAAAAATGGCGCGACTGGCGCGAAGAGAAAAAAAAACAAAGCCCGTTTCTCCAAAACCCATCTATTACGTTGAGCAACAGATCGACGGTCCGCTAAACGCTCGGCGTGAATTATTTATAACGCGACGTATAATTCTCGGTAGATCCGGCTCGTCCTTTTAGTTTCGCTCTCGAGAGTCCCCTCTCGCCGCCCTCTCCCGTTCCCTCTCCGACTCTCTTATAGTGCATGCTCGACAATTCCCACGGGAGTGACCGATCTGCTCGCTCGCTCGCTCGCGCACGCGCGCGCGCGCTCGCGCGCGTGCAAAGAGAAAGGAAGAAAAAAAGGAGAAGAGGAACTCCCCTCCCGCCGCCCCGGAAGGAGTCGAGCGCGAGACTGGGCGAAGGAAAAAAAGAACAAATATGTCGGGGCGAGCGTACAGTCCGTACGCGCGTTAATGGGGCGTTCAGGGCAGGAGCACGCCGAACGGTCAACGGCCTATCCTCGTTTTGCATTTTCCCGCGTCCATCCATTCCCGCGTGTGCTCTCCTCGTCGACGAGCGGGCATCAGGGGAATCTCTCTCCTGTCGGTGGGACGAGAGCGGTTTGACCTCCGCGGCGTGCACGAGCGAGGCTAGTCTCCCTCCCTCCCTCCCGGCCGCCCGGCCGCCCCGACCCGTCGCACCGATGAATATCGCGGAATCGTCACGGACGATAAATCCGTTCCTCGCGTTTTACGTTTTAAACGTTCCCCGGGCGCGCGGAGGAGCCCGTAATTGCGCCGCGAGAACAGCCGCGGATCTAATCGGTTCCCGGGCTTCTTGCGCAGTTCGTTAACTATTATGAGTCGTTAAGTGAATCCCCGACGTTTAAAAATACCGCTCGTTCCCTCTCGTGCTCTCTCCGGATCTCTCGCTCGCTCGCTCGCTTTTCCGTCCGAGAATCGAGCGAGAGAACGAGCGCGGAAAATGAAGTACCCTCGCTCGACGAGACGACGAGGAGAAGCAACCATGAGACCGCGAGACAGAAAATACTCTGTACCGTTTATTCCGCGTCTGTGCGCGTCACTTCTTGTCGCCGGCGTTAAAACCGACGCGAAATGCGTCGTTCTCCCGTCATACACGTCGCCGTTCGCGAATTAATCGTCCAATCAGTCGTCTTTTTCCACGAGCCTCCCCATCGTTATGCACGATCTCGCTCCGCGTGATTCCGCAATAACGACGCCTCGTAATTGTGATAAATCTTCGCGATAATTCATAGATACGCTGCAAGATACGCGCGCGCGCGCGCGTCATCGTTTGGAGATGTTTACCTGAATAATAGTCGCTCTGGCGCTCGCAGACCAAATTATTCCAGTACTGCTCCATTACTGCAATTTATAGGCATTAGAAGCCGGTGGGTGCCAAGGGCATTGTTATCAATCTAACAGTAACACGAGGAACACGAGTCGTGCGAGGAAAATAATCGCGTCCGTGACAGAAGAGAAGGAGGAAGAAGAAGAAGAAGAGAGCGAACTCGCTCTCTCGTGAATTTCTCCAAAAAAGGAGACACAAATGGCGCGAGAAATGCTCGACGGTATCCGCCGGTATGCCAAGCCGGGCGAGGGGAGGAAGCGGAGCTGCACTGCAAACCCGGTTGATTTTCCAATTAAGGGTTCGCGTTCGCGATTTTCTCCATTAGGGCGCTGCACGCCCTACACGCGCGTCTACGCCGCGTCCGATCCCGACGCCGCGGCGAGACGCGCGCGGCGAACGGTAAATCCACTAAAGACGTCGGTTAAATATTTAATTGTCCCTCGAGGAATCGCCGCGTTGCCGAAGGAGGTCTTCGGCGGCGGCCAAGACGACGGCGGTTCACGGCGCCGGTCGCCCGAGGGACGTCGGTCGTCCCGAGACCCTCTTCTTCGTCGATCCGTCGACTGTCCGCCCGTCCTTCTGCTCCCCCTTGACCCCTTGCCACCACCACCACCGCCGCCGCCGCCCTCACCCGACGCCCAACCTGCTCTCACCGTGTCCCTTCTCTGTTCTATGCCACCCACCGTGGGCTTTCTCCGATCCCTGACATCTCGGCGTGCTCCACTTCCATTAGATAATCGCCGAGGGTCCCGCTTCGGAATAAACCTTTCGACCAAAAAAGGGAAAAAAAAAGCGAGGAACGAGCACGAGGGGGAGCAACGAAGATGAAAGAAGGGCAACGCGACTCTCGAACGCATCCGCTCGTTCACGGACGAGACTGGCTCCTCCGTTGCTCCTCCGTATCGCTGTGCTTCCTGCTCGTCGTCGCGACGAAAGCACCAGGCGACAAATACGAGGAGAGCCGACCCGATGCGAGCGGATGCCTTTCGGTGTCGGTGTCTATTCTGCGCGCGAGCGAGAGCTCAAAGGGGCGAGAAGGGGCGAGAACGAGAGAAAGGAAATTTTTTGAGAGGCCGTCCCGCTGCCACCTGCGCGTGCATTAAGGCGCGCACGAGAGCGCGCCGAGACGGAATCGGGCTGAGATATACTTTCGAGAGCGCGAGTGGGAGAGTTCGGTGTTGGTGCGAGAGGTAGTTCAAACGCGCCGAGAAGTTCGGTTTATCACGTAGGTAGGAAACGAGTTTTGCCCGGGTTGGAGTTTCGCGCTCGGTCCTCTGGTCGC